GTCTCAAAAAAAAAAAAAAATTTGAAAGACAGCTCCCTGGATATTTTGAAACCTCAGCTTCTGTTTTTCTAAGAAAAATATATTAATAACTTCTGAATTCTCTGATATTGAAGAAATTGAACAAGAGTGTTAGTTTTCATCTATTGGGAAATATTCAAAGCTAAGTCTACTAAAATGAGTAAAACTTTAAATAAAATCTCTCTAGTCTCATTTTTTAATCTTTATAGTTTTTGTTTTGTTTAATAGTTCATATCTTTCTCTTTTTTTTTTTTTTTTTTTCTTTTGAGACAGAGTCTTGCTCTGTTGCCAGGCTGGAGTCAGCTCACTGCAACCTCCACCTCCTGGGTTCAAGCGATTCTTGTGCCTCAGCCTCCCAAGTAGCTGGGATTACAGGCCCACGCCACCACAAGCAGCTAATTTTTGTATTTTTAGTAAAGACAGGGTTTCACCATATTGGCGAGTCTGGTCTTGAACTCCTGACCTCATGATCCGCCCGCCTTGGCCCAGAATTACATAGCGCTGGGATTACAGGCGTGAGCCACCGTGCCCTGCCTAGTTCATATCTTTCCTGTATCTAAACTTTTCTCCCTAATAGATCTGGCACACTTATATCTTTTATAAAAGTCAATAATGACTACTTAGTTGAAGGAAAAAAGAAATTACTCGCTAAGTTTGTTGCCGAGTTCTTGAAGAGCTTGCTCTTGTTCATGATATATTTTTTTCAACTGCTGATTTTCATCCTGGAGGTTAAGGAACTCCTTCAGAACAATAAAAGACAGAAAATGCAATTTAAAAGAAAGAAACAAGAAACTCCAGAATGTATATATACCATTAATCAGAAACAAACATCCTTTAGCTTTTTAAAAGAAACAAATTGTGTCCAAAGCTCTTTCCTAGCTGCTGTATGTATCAACTATTTTCCATTTACTTAATCTCTTCACTGATATTTTTTAAGATGACTAGTATATCCATTTCCTTGGTATAATGTAAATTATAATTTATCTTTTTAAATAAGTTAACATTTGTCAAGATAGAATTTTTAAAGTTTTACCACTATTTACTTTTTTAAGACTAATGATTTGTTGAGTCTCATTTCTAAGATGAGATAAGGCATCTTTCTCCTTTTGAAGATCTTCCTGCAAAGTCTGCCTCCATTCCTTCTCAATCTTCAAGTCAGTTTCCAGTTGCACCCTTGAATGACAAATAATACACAGAAGCTCAGTGCTATTTCTCACATGACAGTTGTTATGTATTCTTTACTAAAATCACCCTTTTGGTTTACTACTTTGGCCTTTGTAATGCATTTTTCAGACATTTTCTTTCACAAGTATTTTTCGGTAAACAAGTTCAGCAGCACAGGGTTTTCCAACCACAAAATATTGACTCATTTGCCAGCCATGAAACAATCCTTGCTAAACCATTTACATCATTAATTAATTCCATAGACATAAATATTGCATAAGCATAGAAAATGCCTTGGAAAGGCAAACACCATAATATTAAAACTGGTTACATCTTGGGAATGGAACTAAGAGGAGGAACGTAAGATTCTAATTGTCTTACACTTCTATGCCATGTGAAAAATTTTACAAAAAAACTTTATTCCAATATAAGAATTATAGCAATTGCTAAATCAGTTTAACTTCAGTAATGGCAAAATCAGCCCTGTTGCAGAGTGCTAATTTGCGAATTACTATTGGAAGCTGACCAATTACATGAAAGACCTAAAACCAAGCAGACATTGGGGGAAAGTCCACACTGCCTGGAAATGCCAATTCTGAAAGCAATCCTGCAATCTTCTTCTTCTTCTTCTTCTTTTTTTTTTTTTGGAGACAGGGTCTTGCTATGTTGCCAGGCTGGACTCAACTCCTGGGCTCAAGTGATCCTCCCACCTCAGCCTCTCAGCATCTGAGACTATAGGCCTGCCACCAAAACTCCTGAATTATTCTAAAGGTGCTAGCTGGCAAAGCAAACATAGTTGAATTTCCACATTTTAAGCTGACTAAAAAAAAAGAACACAAATCACTTCCATGATTATTTCTCATAAACAGTTATAACAAGTGAGGCATTTATCTACTAACAATACTACAGTTACTAATACTTTATATTTTAATTGCAACATTATAATGTTGAGTACATTATTTTAATATTTTTGTGTTAATATTTAGATTAGTTTTTATTTCCTCATAGTTAGCATTTCCATATACAGCCATATATTTTCCAGTGGAATAAATTTTAGATTTGTAATTCAGGTTGAAGAGAAGAGTACCTGAAAATGGAATTTACAAATTATTGATAAATACTATTTTACTACAAATTTAAAATTTGAACAGCATCTCTTCAACTGTTACTTCCTTATAACATTGACAAGAAAAAAAACTGATTCCCACTGGGGCCACTGTCTGTGTGAAGTCTGCACATTCTCTCCATGTCTGTGTAAGTCTTCTCCAGGTACTCCAGTTTCCTCCCAGATCCCAAAGATGTGCACATTAGATGAACTGGCATTATCTACATTGTCCCAGCCTGAGTGTGGGTGTGTTTGGGTACATCCTGTGATGGAATAGTGTCCTGTGGAAGACTGGTTCCCACTGGGTGCCCAACTTGCCAGGATAGGCTCCGGCCACCAAT